AGCCACCCTGGATCTTTTGGGTGAGACTTTAACACTAAGACATCCTATCTACTCCGTGTAGGGTTTTGTCAACTCCTTTAGACAAAAATTTAAGGTCACCCAACCAAAGACAGACAGACCACTTGGTACGCACACAAAAGGCATTTAAAAATCTAATTAAAGCTAGGAAAGAGTTGCACCATCTATTGAAGGCATGGATATAGCTTATCCCTGAAATAAAGACGGTTCTAAGTTGTTTGTAGAAAGATTTCCATTTTTTAAAACAGGCCAGAACTATGCCTCCCAATGGAGGCAGATTAGATTGAAGTAGGAATAAAATTATACTTACGAATCATAGTTGTCCCTGAAGCCTTTTGCAAAAGGATTATGGTCAATTTTAAGCTGAGTGATCTGGGGAGGGGGAGAAAAAAAAAGATGGAATTGAGTTAAATTTCTAAATTGCATCAAGCACCTTCCACCATATATTTTTTCCAAGTTTAAACCCCCTTATGACTTACATCAGTGTTTTGATATGCAGTAACTGCTATGAACTGGGTTTCCGGGAAAACAAACGTCTGCGTCTTTGAAGAGTCATTCAGATCTTCAACCCCATCTTCAGTCACTTCCACAATATGAAGTCGAGGTTGGTATTTGTGTAGAGACTGAAGTACTATCATCTAGAAGAAACAATGCATATAGTCTATGCATATATATTGTTCAGATAAAAGGCACCTAAAACTAGTGCTAACCATAGGGGAGAAAAATCAGATGTTTGGAAGCTGATCATTTAGCCTTCAGACTCTCACAAGGAGTTTGCAAGGTGTGAGCCTCAATTTAACTAGACTGTGGATAATAGCTTTAGGAGTACAGTGGCACAAAATTCACTGCTCTGAGAGAACTACAGAGTACATATAGACCACATTATGCACTGACTAAACAGAAGAAAGGGGAGGTTTTTCCATCCCATGTCTGTTAAGTGAAGACCATTGAACTTAAACAGATCAAAATGATTTTACAATTTTCTGGGGCTATATAGCTCTGCAAGGTAAGCTCATGAAGCCCTGAAAACCTAATTAATCACTGTCTGATGCTACTTTCTTGATTTAGAGGCACTACCATGCTATTTATCAGTTATTTACCTGAGTATTATTATTGTTAGCACCTTTGTTATTGGTCAGTTTTAGTTTTCCAAAAGAGATCTCCTGCCTCATCCAGTGAGCCCCAGTGTTCGGGGACTCAGGGTGAACATACACTTTGTTGCCTAGGTGAGAGAGAAGAAAGAGGCAAATGTAAGGATTACAAGAACAATCCCGCACACACAATTCAGGAAACAGATACTGGAGTGACAGGGATCATCTCTAGCACCAGCCATGGGACAAAGCGAGGGGAGGCAGATGCACTGTAAGCATCTGGGTGCTGCTGGATTCCGGAAGGACAAGCTTACACCTTTGTATATTAAATTCTGTGAAATTTCATTTAGTGCCCAGCTCCGCTTGGGGACAGCACATGGCCAGGGCTGCAGAGGGGCAGGGAGGCCATCACAACGCCATCTTCCAGCCCAGGGGTTTCTCGCGCACATTAACACCCTCACCACCTTTGAAAGGTGGTGGGTGGGGGGGGGGGGGGATTTGAGCATTTTGCCGTTTGCCCTGCAGATGTCCGATGGGACGCACCTCCGGGCCTGGCCATTGCTCACCGGTCATAGAGAAGAGCTGGCTGGGAGGGTGGAGCACGCCCCGTGGCCGGACTGGCTTGGGAACGGGAAGGACCGGGGCGGATCGGGGGCTGGTTTCCCAGAGCCTGGCTGGAGGGGCCCGGCCGCAAGGTACCTTGCATGTTGTTGTCCGCTTTCCCGCACGTCACCCACTTGCCCCCCTGGAAGCGCCAGTGGTTGGGATCGGCCAGCACCACCTCCACGAACACGTTGTAATGCGCCGTGGGGTTGAGGCCGGTGATGTTGAAGCTCAGGAAGGGAAACATCCGCCTAGAAGGGGAAAACGCGGAGACCGAGCAAGTTAGCAGCGCGCCAAGGAAGGGCTCTGAGCCCGAGCTCAGGGGCCGGCTCCGGCTCTGCCGCTGGAGCGCCGGGCACTGTGCGCGGGGCTTGGCTCGGGGGTGGTCTGTGAGTCACTGGGAAAAGGGGCAGTGCAGGGACGCGTGGAGCCCAAGCAGTCTGCGGGGGGAAACTGAGGCAGAGACTGGCTTCCCTAGCCGGCTCCGATCGCGTCCTGCCAGGGGTCTCTCAGCGGCGCTTGGGGCTCAAATCGGCCTCGACTTTGAGGGAAGCAGCCCCGCCACGGCCCGGCCATTTCCACTTGGGATTCGTTATCAGGGCCGCTACATTTCAATCCCCACCCCGCTCCCCCTGCTCCCTTCCCCTCAGTCTCCCACCGAAATCAGGCTGTCTAATCATAAGACCCAGCACGAAGAAAACCTCCGCAAGAGCCACATTTCTGGCTCCTTCCCACCAGAAGGGAACCGTCCACCTCCCAACCATCGCCCCTCGGACAGGGAGTTTTCCCGCTAAGAGATTGCCCTACACCCCTTCCCCCCCTCCATTTACACGTACTGAATCGCTCGCTCCCCCCAAACGCCAAGCCCGATTCGCTTCCCCGGGAGCCTTGAGTGCTGCTGTCCCTCCTCGAGGTCTGCAGCTTAGAAAATCAAACCGGCCCCGCACCAAACCCGCGGCGCTTCGACACACTCGGGGTTGCTCAGCCTCGTCCAAGCCCCGCGCACCCCCGAATTAGCGCGAATCCTCCCCGTGGCCGGCCAGCCCAGGCCGGGGGAGGCACCGTTTAAATGGCCATTCTCCGGCTCCCGTCGAGTTTCACTGGCGACAAGGGAGCGTTGGTTTGGTTTGATTTTTAACGTGGCAATTAATTAATCCCCCCCCCGCGGCTCCAGGGCAGCGAGAGGCAGCTCGGGGCTCCAGATCGCCCTCGAGAAATGAGATTTGTCAAACGAAACGGGAACAGGCAGAAGCCACCCAGGCGAGCCCCCCGTATAGGCCGCTTTAGTGGGAGGCGAACCCGGAGCCCCCTTGACGCCCAGGGTTGGCACCAGGGTCACAGAAGGAACCGGGGGGGGGTTATAGCAGGCGCCTTCCACCCCGTATGGCGCTTGGGGCTCCCCGCACCCCCCGCCCGCGCCCCTCCGTACCTGCCCTGCTTGGTGATGATCATCTCCGTCTGGTGCCGGTGGAACTTGAGCCAGAGCGGGCGGTTGCAGAGGAAGACCTGCGCCCGGAGCCCTGGCCCCGAGCCGGGCACGGCTAAGGCGCCCAGCCCGCCGCAGGAGCCCGCCGCCGGGTAGGGGCTGTACAGGGGCCCCGCCGCCCCTTGGCCATACTGGTATCCGCCGCCGCCCCCGAACTGCGCCCGGCCGCCCGGGGAGCACACGGCGGCCGAGAAGCCCCCCGGGGACAGCATGGAGCCGTAGGGGTAGCGCGCCCCGCCGGGCGATTGGTAGACGGAGCCGTGCTGCGCCGCCGGGTAGGGGAAGAGCGAGCAGGGCGCGCCCAGCTCAGCCCCCTGCGGCCCGGGGGACTGCAGGTAGTAGCGCTCCGGGCTCAGGCTGTCCAGTGGGTAGCGGGCGGCGGCGGCCAGGGGCAGCTCGGCCTCCCCGCAAGGGGCCGCCTTGCGGCCGTCCGGGGCGCCCTGCTTGGAGCCCGCGACGGGGAAGGGCTCGCCAGCCTCCGCCTCGCTCAGCATGCCCGGCCCGGCGCCGCCGCACTTCTTCGGCCCCTTGTCCAAGTCCAGGCGCTGCGGGGATCCCGAGCTGGGCTGGCTGCGGTGGCCGCGGGCGCTGCTGCTCTCCGGCGGGTAGAAGGGGGGCCCAGCCAGGCTAGCGGCGCTGGCCAAGAGCTGCTCCCCTAACTGCATCCTCTCCAGCGCCAGCCGAGGGGAGCCTGGGCTGCGTGCGAGCGGGGAGCCGGGCTCCTCCCAGGGAGGTGAAGTGCCGAGCCGCACGGGCCCCCTGCCGGAAAGTTCCCCTGCAACTTTCCCACCCCCGCCTGTCCTCCCCGGGCTGCAGCCCCCCACAACCCCCCCTCTCCAGCTTCCGCCTTCCTCACTGAAAACAGCCACCTCTGCTGCTGAATTAAGCGGAGACTATTTATATAGGCACGCTGGGCTCCTCAGGCCGCCGGGGAGGGGCTTGGGGAGGTCTAGTTCGTGGCAGCCCCCTTCATCCTGGCTGGCCCATTGGCTGGTTTATGTGACACTAATTTAATTAGACAGCTACTAATTGGAACAAGTCACCTGTGACTCCATGCCCCCTCTCCCCCTTTAACTGGCTCCTGATGGGAGATCAAAACCGCTTCGTGTCCTGCCTTGGTTAAGGGAGAGAGGAAGCAGGAACTTGAACTGGATTTCTTGGTGGCTAGGGTGATGTACTTTGGATTTCACCCCTCCGCCAAGCGTTAGCAAAATGCTGATCTCTTAAAGATGATGCAGGTCTCTTAGATAATAGCTGCTTGGGTATAAAGAAAAGGATCCTGCATGCGGAAGACTTTAACGGGAAGAAAACAACTTTCAGAGGGAAAGAGAGAAGATCTGGACAAAATTTCAGTGATGCAACCTGAAATCCAAGTAGTTATATAGACCTAAAGATGCAGCGGGTTTTGCTCCCCAGTGCTTTCCTAGATGGTGTTTAACATTTAGCAAGCGAGACATCTGCGATTGTCAGTGCCAGCTAAGAAACGAGATCCACATTTCATTTAAATTTGATGGGCGAGATTAAAGGCTCTCAACAGCAGCCTCGCCCCTGAAACAATTCAGCCTGTTCTGCAGCCAAGGGTAGAAACCCCTCTTTATACGAAAGATCAGAGCATCATTTACAGCAGGATGACCCAGAGCTCTTTACACTTATCAGGGGCTTCTCTTTCAAGCAACTGTAAGGGCTGTTTTGCTATTTCACTTCTACCCTTCCTCCAATAAATAAATAAAACGTATTTGCTTCAATAATCCGGTGTTGCAAAACGGAATTATATTTTAATTGTTTGATAGATGCCTTGTTTTAACAGTTCCAGCTGGAGAATTGTATACGTCTCCCCATCATTTATACAGCGGGTGGTTTTGTTTTAACCCAGACAGATAAAGAGCTAGAATTTAAGAAGAATTAGATTTATTTCTGATTTTTAGAAGTCAGAGCATAGACTGATGACTGAACTGGAGAGAGGTTGGTAGCCCCTTCGACCTCTTTTCGTGCAGATGCCTAAATCTGCCATGAGTTCAACAGAATGAATATTCCTAACATCCAATTTTTAAAGCAGATTATATAAAAACAAATTCGTTGCTGAGAAAAAGCGAACGAAGCATATTTACTATGAATAACAGTTACTAATACATAATCATCCAAACTTCAGAATGCCTTGAGCAACTCCTTTCTGATTTATATATATATAAAAAAACAGGCTGACAAGGTCACATTAAGCCAAGATAACGCGCTCACAATTAACCAAACCCGCGCATCCCCGTGGAATAGAATACATTTTTCCAGCTTTACAAAACTTTTACAGTTACAGGAACTCCGATGCTATTTCGTGCCGGGCTTGTTTGTAAATACTGTACTAGCCAAACGTTTGGTTAAAAGACGGTAGGCAAAGAGACGAGCTGATCAGTTTAAAGGGCAGCTGATGTTCACTTAATATATAATGATCAGAAGCGGAAGAAAGAAGCGAAACGCCCGCAAATGCTTAAGCACTAAATTTAAACTGCAGCGCAACAAAATGCACTGGGAGATGGTAAAGCGGCAGCTAGTGCTGCAGAACAGGTCGGATCGCAGCCTGCAGTTACAACTGTTATCTTTCATCCCGATTCGTTCAGTCTCGCTCTTGGAAAGTTTTGCCTCACTTTTTTTTGTTCATACGAAAAAGGCAAACTATTTGCAAAGTCAGAAGCCCGGGCATTCAGCAAAGATCTGCCTGCGCTGTGTTCCTGAGCGCTTTGATCGCGGGTATTTCTCTCGGCAAGGTGATGGTTTTCTTCTGGGGGGAGAAGAATGGGAGCAGATACAAGCCATTTAGCTGGATCTTTACTAGTAATGGACTGCAAAGGAGTTTGCAGACCTGACATCATTTACTATTCAAAAGCAAAACGACCACCGCTCATGAAAGGGGGGCGTTAATTGATCAAAATTCCTTCCGCATGTGGAACATACAGCACACCGAACAGATTTTGAAAAAAATCTAGCTATCAAAGGTTTTTATATAGCGCCTATAAGCCGAAGCGCTGCACAGACATTTACATTTCATATTATGTTAAACCTAGGTGGACCGATTTTAGTTCTAAAAAGTATTTAAAATGCTAAATCATTAAAAGACTATAAACTTCCACAACAAGTACACATTGTCATCGAAATATTCGCAGAATGTGTCCTCCTTTACCTATCTACCAAGACCTTAGTTCTACAAACTCTGAGAACATCCCACCTGGACAGGCTTAGCTCCTTGTACTGCTTTAGGAACTAGTTGCAGTTCCCACTGATTTCATTTGGAGCCTCCAATCAGTTTCAATCGGATCCTGAAAGGGCTTGTCTACACATGGAGTTGTTCCTGATTAATTGTATCTGATTAACTCACTTCGAAAGTTAAACTAAAAGCAAGAACAAAGGCACTGTTATTCCAGAATATAGCGTGTCCACACCACACTGGAGTTAATCAGGATCAGCTACTTAGGAACAACTCCAACGCCATATCCCCTTAGGGATTTTTCTGTAGAGAAGGCACAAACCCATGAGAGAGAAAGCTTTTCAGTTTATTTTCAAATATATTTGTAATGAAGATTACACATGGATTCTGCTAATGATTTAAGATTTTAATCTTTACATTTTCAGTATTCTTTTAAGATTTCAGATCACCTTTAGAGAAAGGACTCCCACAGGAATCCCAAGAGGTTGTATATACACCTAAGGACAGCATATGACTTTTAGGGAAATAAGAAACAGAGAGCTAGGGACTTCCTTATACATTATGGGCCAAATTCTGTGCTAACTCAGGCAAAATTTCCATTGCAATCTATGCATCCGAAGAAGTGGGCTGTAGTCCATGAAAGCTTATGCTCTAATAAATTTGTTAGTCTCTAAGGTGCCACAAGTACTCCTGTTCTTATTGCAATCTATGTGATTTTGGACAGAGTAAGAGCCGCAGGATTTGACTCTGTTTGCATAAAGGATATACTAACATTTTATTTCCCTCCCCACAAAACACGCTGATGAATTCTGGCCATATGATGGTTTGAGCACACACACACATATTTTTACACTTGTCTGTTCTTTGCACAGGAAATCAACAGGCAGTCCCTATGGTTGAAAAAATAATTTGCCGCACTCTAAATTAAGAGTTATCTATTCTGTAACTCTTTACTAACACAAACCAATTTGGATCTAGACTGTCTAATCCCAACTAGACTATAAACAAATCTATTTTACAGGGGAATCCAGTTACAAGACTGTAATTCTCAGATATAGTAAAAACAAAGTTAAGCCTTCTGTTGTACACTGGAATGAACCATGTTCTTGAAAGATGGATTTAGGACTATAGCAGTTCAGTCCTAGCTACACTGCAAGATTGAGCCATGTTTTAGTCATGTATTGGATAACACGTATGGGTTTGTAACTGGATCACTGAACTCTTCAGATAAGGTTACAATAAGTGCAGACTTTCCAGAAAGAAAAAGAAGAGTGTCAAATTAGTACAACTACTAAAATAATCCCTAAACCACAAAATAAATGTGGGGGAGGAGGAAATCTGAGGTTTCAGAGAGTTTCATAGAACGATGAATTGTTCAGCTTAATTAAAATACCTGTGTCACTGAATCAAAAGCGATGTTTATTCAAGGAGACCCTGTTTATGTGGTTTTATTTACAGTAAGGTATCAATGTACATTACACTTGTTGTCTTCTGAATAAAATTAAATGTAATAATAACTGTTACCTCTTTCAGATCAGATCTGTATATCAAAATAGGAGCCCCAGTTCAGCAAAGCCCTTTAGCACATACTTAAGGGTTTTGCTGAACTGGGTCTCCTAAAGACAAGACTTTATGATCCAGTAGGTCTTTTCCATATCTAGCTTCCAAGATTCTCTCTTATGCATGCCCCAATGGATCCTAATAGTCTAAGAAAACTTTTATTTTCATCCATACTAACAGAATGTTATCCAATCACTTTCTATGTTGGTCAGACACTTTGTTCATTTTCTGAAGACCTGCTGAAACATCTCAAGATTTACAGGTCATCATGGCTTCTCTTGGACCCTAGATAAATATGAATAGCCAAATACACACAAATTATCTGTCTCTTTGACTAATTATCTTTGGTTTTATTTTTATTAAAATGTATTTTGGGCTCTCCCTGTTAGACTCTTGTTGCCTGGTTGGCATAAATGCCATCTCAAAGACTGGGAGGCTTTTATATATACTACATATTTGAAATGAGAAGTTGTAGGTGATCTATTCACCCAGTTTGTCCTTTTTACTACATACAAATAAAAATAACCTGGTCAAACAAAGGAGGTAGGGATGCTCTTGTGGTTCATGCATGGGACTTCACATCAGGAGTTCTAGGTACTATTTTTTTTTCTATATTTAAACTTTCTGTGTGACATTTTCCAAGTGACTAAGCCCAGGATTTTCAAAAGTGGCTACTGATTTTGAATGTTCCCATTTACATATGCCCACCTTGAGATAGCTTGGTCCTCATTTTCAAAATTAATGAGCACCTACAGCTTGCGCTGTGCTGCAGTTAAGGAAGCTGTGGGCTCTCAGCACGTCTGAAAATTAGGCCCAGCTGTTTCTGGTTGGGCACTGAAATTCAATGGCTATTTTTGAAAGTTTGCTGCATACCTCTCTATGCTTTCATTTTCTCATCTGTCAAATGGGGATGAGAATATTCACCTACTTCCTCTGGGTGTTGGTAAAGTGCTTTGAGATTCCCAGAGAGAAAGAAGTACAAAGTGGTGTTATATGGTAATCAAGACTGCCAATCTGTCAGATTAAACAATGATATATTCAATGGGCATTTGAAATGTACAGTTTTTAAAAGCTGCCATATGTAGCACTTTAAAATCTGCATTCCTATAGGGCTAAAAGGTGAAGCTGGACTTCATCAGAACTAGGGTATACTTATTTTTAAAGAGAAGCAAACAATACTCCTAAAAACTGAAGTAATTTTGTCTTTAACATTCACTAGGCTATCATCAGATTTACCCTTTTATAATAATTACTGAAAGATAAAATTGGACCCAGAGCTATGGAAAATGTGAATGGGATGAATAGGCCATTTAGTCCTTTAAATCAGAGGTTAGAACATGAACATTTTAAATGGCGGAAGCCAGGGCATAAACATTAAACTAAACCATACACTAAAAAGAAAGATGCTTACCTGAAAATTCAGCAACAGATGGGAAAAATCAGCCGCCACCAGGAATAACTCAAATGAAAAGAACAAACGGGCAAAAATTAAGGAATCAAGAGCCGGAATCTATTATAGAGTAGTGCTCAATGTCTGAAAATAAAATAATTTTCGCAACAACTTTAAAACAATTGCAACCATTCACTTTTCCTTCTCCCATCACCTATAAAGTTACAGGGAAAACAGCAACTAGAACTATGGATTTCTTTGCTAATCAGAGTTTGAGCCCACTCTGGGCAGTTCTGGGTGAAAGCATGGAGAAGGACAAACTATGCTCGGCATGAGTGACGGTTAGCTAGAGAGAAAACTAGGTTCAGCTGAATCTACTGCATTATCAGCAATGGGTACTTTGGTTAATGTAGATAAAACTGTAGTTTGGTTCCATCTGTACAGGCAAGGCCAAAATTTAATTAGCACACCTTAGGCTATAAAAACAGACAAGAAGCATTGTACTGGCAGAAGACATAAGGTTTTGCAAGTTGGACGCCAGTATATTTTCAACGACCATCTAGGGAGGTTCAGAGAGGATTGGGACAGGGATAACAACAGAATTAAGTTGAATTAGCAGTTTGGTGGCTCTCTTTTCTCCAAAAGGAATATTAGAAGTTGAAAGGAAGGGTGCAGAAAGACTAAAGCAAGAACTGAATAACCACAGAACAAACCTGAACCACAAATAATATAACATCTTATATTTTATATTATACACCTATTGGGAGTTCCCAAAATAGTACTCCATCAAGTACTAGCTTTTTTCTGCCAATACCTGTAATTAAGAGAGCCTAGACAACTTGGAGAACCTTTTTTAAGGCAAACTTAACTACTACACAGATTTTTCAAAATTCTCAGTCTCATTATAAAAGGAAATATTGTTCTATAAAATAATCACTGATAGCTAAAACAAATCCCTGTTGTGAATACAGTACCATTAGAAGGATAAACTTTGAAGTACTCTGTTTGATTTCAAGAGAATTTTGACAAGCTCACTGTAATATGCTTGGATTGTGATAACAGAAATAGCTCTGCTGTTCTGTCTTTCTATCATTGACTTTATTCCATCTGCTTACTGCAGTTGTCAGTTTAAATTCTGTAAATGTTTTGTTTTTTCCCCTAGCACTTTAAAAAGTAAACTTTCATTGTGATGGCCCTGATAAAACCCACACTGAGCTGCTTGCATAACTGGAGTTCATGTCAGAGCTATCAAATATTTCCTGCTGACAACATGTTAGCAGAGAAATACAACATTTTTGATATTTTTGCTCCAGGTGGACTCAAGCTGAGGCTTATAGTGGGAAAACAATTAACTCTGTGGGTTGAAAAAAATAATTAACAGTGGGATACAGTAATATCAGAAGCAGTATCTGTTCACCCAGTACCACTTATGACAACCATCAGACAAGAAGGTTTAGTGAGTACCCAGCTGTAAGTGGGAATCAATTTACTGACTTCAGTACCAGGCAAACTGGTTGAAACTATAGTAAAGAACAGAATTGTCAGACACATAGATGAACACTATTTGTTGGGGGAAGAGTCAACATGGTTTTTGTAAAGGGAAATCATGCCTCATCAATCTACTAGAATTCTTTGAGGGGGTCAACAAGCATGTGACCAAGGGGGATGGAGTGGATAGAGAATACTTAGATTTTCAGAAAGCCTTTGACAAGATCCCTCACCAAAAGCTCTTAAGCAAAGTAAGCTGTCATAGGATAAGAGGGAAGGTCCTCTCATGGATCGGTAACTGGTTAAAATATAGGAAACAAAGGGTAGGAACAAATGGTCAGTTTTCAGAATGGAGAGAGGTAAATAGTGGTGTCCCCCAGGGGTCTGTACTGGGACCAGTCCTATTCAACCTATTCATAAATGCTCTGGAAAAGGGGGTAAACAGTGAGGTGGCAAAATTTGCAGATGATACAAAACTACTCAAGATAGTTAAGTCCCAGGCAGACTGTGAAAAGCTACAAAAGGATCTCTCAAAACTAGGTGACTGGGCAACAAAATGGCAGATGAAATTCAATGTTGAGGAATGCAAAATAATGCAAATTGGAAAAGATAACCCAACTATACATATAAAATGATGGGGTCTAAAATAGCTACCACTCAAGAAAGAGATCTTGGAGTCATTGTGGATAGTTCTGTGAAAACATCCATTCAATGTGCAGCGGCAGTCAAAAAAGCGAACAGAATGTTGGGAATCATCAAGAAAGGAATAGATATTAAGACAGAAAATATCATATTGCCGCTATATAAATCCATGGTACATCCACATCTTGAATACTGTATGCAGATGTGGTCACCTCATTTCAAAAAAGATCTATTGGAAAAGGTTCAGAAAAGGGCAACAAAATGCTTAGGGTATGGAACGGTTTCCATATGAGGATAGATTTATAAGACTGGGACTTTTCAACTTGGAAAAGAGACGACTAAGGGGGGATATGATAGAAGTCTATAAAATCATGGCTGGTGTGGAGAAAGTAAATAAGAAAGTGTTATTTACTCCTTCTCATAACACAAGAACTAGGGGTAACCAAATGAAATTAATAGGCAGCAAGTTTAAAATAAACAAAAGGAAGTATTTCTTCACACAATGCACAATCAACTCATGGAACTCTTTGCCAGAGGATGTTGTGAAGGCCAAGACTATAACAGGGTTCAAAAAATAACTAGATAAGTTCATGGAGCATAGGTCCATCAGTGGCTATTAGCCAAGATGGGCAGGGATGGTGTCCCTAGCCTCTGTTTGCCAGAAGCTGGTAATGGGCGACAGAGGATGGATCACTTAATTATGTTCAGTTCGTTCCCTCTGGGGCACTGGCATTGGCCACTGTCAGAAGACAGGATACTGGGCTAGATGGACTTTTGGTCTGACCCAGTATGACCGTTCTTATGTACAAATTCTGATGGAGGTTAATCTTAGAGGGCCTGATCCAAAGTCCATTGAAGTTAATGGAAAGCTTCTCTAAACACACTAGCATTGATTTCTCATCAGGTCAATAGGAATCTTTCCAGTAATGGTTTTATGCTTTTAACAAGTATCAATAAACATTGTAAATAGATTTTAAAGGTTCATTTGTTTGGCTCTCTCATTTTCTTCCACATGATCGCTTTCAGTAGCTAATAAGCATTTTTATTAATTTGCATAATATCTCATTTAAAAGACAGAGAACAAACGCACTATTCAGCTGCTATGAACTACACATTCCTGATCTGTGCCCAGTCCATTTAGTCTGCAGACTGGAAATATTCTGAGTGCATCTACTGGATTGTAAACAATGAGGAAACCTACATAAGAGGAACCACCTGCCTCCCCAATGTGTCATACAGATCAGAAATTTCCATCCTTCGATGTGAAACCCACTCAGATCTCTGAAGTTTAGCAGAGCTCCCGATTATCAGCTGATTTACAAGAAATGCACTTGCCTGAGGCTAACATAAACGCCTCACTACAGCTCCCCCTTCTCCTTAACACTGATCACGATACAGCAGCCCAAGGTAAAGTAATGGTCCCTAATCCATGTCATCCCTGAGAAATAAATATGTGTCTCTGAGTAAATCTTGCAGATCATGAACCAGCTTCCGATATTTAACTATTTAAATTGTTTTCAGTGTTATACAGCTCAATCCTTACAAGCATATTGTTTCTCACTGATACACACAGCCTGGGAATAAGACGCTTTAAAGAGGGTCCCTGCATGATCTGAAATTGGCAGCAGATTATTGTCAGTCTTCCAGAGTGAATATTATATAGTCTTCTAGAGTGAATATATAACATTATGCACGCACAGGGAGATAAAGTATATGTCTGAGTACGTCTTGAACAATATATAAAATGTTCTCTCTACATTCTTTCTATATGGCCGCTACATACATACCTTGATATAGATATGCTCTGTAAATAAAGGTGTGCGATAAAGAGGTCCATAATATATATGATGTGTGCAGCACACCCACTATAATATAGCTGCGGACACCTATGCCAATGCGTGTGCAAGGGATGTGGGGCGGAACGTGGACGCACACACCTAGTGCCTATGGCCAGTGTGTAGGTAGGCGGCGGTTGTGGACGCAGCCCTCCTCTCCCCTCCGCTCTCCCTGTTAAGATTCCTATTCAAGTCCGTGGGGATTTTGCCGGAAGAAGCAGGACAGGATCGGGCCCTTACGCCAGAGACTTGGACACGTGCGTGGCTCAAATGAATGCAGCCAAGGGGCTTGTCAACACAAGGGGGGCGGCCCCGGCGCGCACAGCGAGCGAAGCTCCAGCAGGGCCGGGGGTTGACGCTCTCAGGGGAGAGCTGAGTCTCTGCGCTCCGGGGAGGAGAACGGAAGAGCCCCCGGGCAGCCCTGGACAGAGGCAGCCCCAGGGGCGTTCCCTGGCAGCGGGCGGAGCGGGGTGGCGGCTCCTGTTCTCACGCCGCAGGGCTGCGCGGGGAGCATGAGGCAGCCGGCAACCCTCCCGCGCGCCGCCGCGATGACACGCTCCTGAGCCGCTCCCCATAGGCCGCGCTGCGTGGCTCGAGCACCAATCCAGCCGCGGGCCCCTGGATCGGACGCCAGTGCCCAGCCCATTGGAGCCGCGAATCCGGAGCCGCTGGGTCTGTGCGGGGTCGGGCTCGTTCCCCTCCCTCCCGCCTCCGGGCTGGCTCCCCAGCTCACCTTGTAGGGCTGGTCAGCTTGTGGGGCAGCAGGGTTGTGTTTGGTTCTCGTTTCCCATGGCCCTGCTCCAGGTTCCCACTCCCTGCCTTCCACTGGACAGTCATTGCTGCTAAGGGATTCCACAGGCCACCAGCCCCTCCAGCTAGCTAACTGCTTTGTGGGTAGCCAGACAGGGTCAGATCAAAGGTCCATCTAACCCAGTGTCAGTGATTTCCTTACACCCCCCCCGCCCCCCAGTTTTATGAACTAGTTACATGCCAATTTACTGTTTGGAATTTGAATTGAAATTGAAACATTAATATACATTTTAAAAGCATATATAAGTTTACTAAAATATATGTATCTGAAAAAGTATAATATTGAATAATTGAAAAGTATGAACATAGACTAGTTTCCTTATACAGCTGTTGTTTTTATGACAATGTCAGTGCATTCAGTTCGGTGATGTTGGCCAACCTAATAATTTCAAATGATGATTTGTAAGCAAAGTCTAAATGAGCTCTCCCTGGCAGCTACTGATGAGCTGGGGCTGGGGGGAAAGGCTTCAGGACCAGATTGTATTTACATTCACACCTAATCTACCTAGGTATCCAGT